ACTGAAATGTCTGAATTGTATTAACAAAAATAAAAATGGCAACAATATGAAACTAGACACAGCCCATTCAGCTTTAGATTGGAAGTGTCCCGTCAGAGAAGGCATTATTCAGGAGATCAACAGAAAGGTGGACTATTTTACCCAAGCAGATAAAGACTAATATTTATTCCACAATGACAAGAAAACATGCAAAAAAGACTCTCTTAAATCTTGCTCATCTAAACCTGAGGTCGATTTTCACTGGTTTTCTCGAATTCAAGAATTTGTTACAAACTAAGGATCTTGACATCATTGGTGTGACAGAAACTTGGTTGAAGAACAATACAGCATCCGAAGTAGTGGCCATTCCGGGATATAGGTTTTATAGGCAAGACCGAGCGATGGGAAGAGGAGGTGGTATAGGTTTATATGTGAAATCTGAACTGCAATGTGAGTATATACAATTGTCAACTCGGCCAACTATTCCAGGGTTTGAATATTTATGGATAAGAAATAAATTATGTAACAATAACACAATGGCTGTTGGTGTCATATACCGTACTGGTAATAATGTTTTAGCCTGTGTTGAAGCACTGGATATATTCTTGCCTGAAATTCTACCTGTAGATAATTATATTATAGTTCTTGGGGATTTAAATGTCAACATGTTTAATATTTTGAACCCTTTTAGCCAATTATTTGATAGTTTCGGGTTCTCCCAAATTATTGATGAGCCAACTAGGATTTGCAATCAAACCGCTACATTATTGGACCCAATTTTTGTTAATACTAGAGATATAGTTGAGGCTTGCGGTACAATTGATGCAAGCAGCATAAGTGATCATATGTTAACATATTGCGACATAAAAATTCAAAGTCAGAAAAAGATTCCAAAACTAGTAACCTTTAGAGATTTCAAATATTTTGATAATCAATTGTTCTTGGATGATTTAGGGCGCTTCCAATGGGATGATTTGTATTATTTTGGTGATATAGATGATAAGATTAATTTTATGACTGAAAATCTAAGGGAGTTATTCTCAATACATGCTCCCTGTAGGACTGTCAGGGTAACCAAGCCACCTGCCCCTTGGTTAACAACAGCAATTAAACACTTAATGAAGGAAAGGGACAATGCTAAAGTTAGGATCAAAGCAAGTAATACTTTAGAAAATCGTAACTATTATAAAAGCCTAAGAAATTTGACAAAGGCTGCTATTCGCCGTGAAAAATTAGCATATTTAACTTTTATTGAGGGTCAACACAATGCTCGTAAACTGTGGAAAACACTGCAAGATTTTCAAGTTTATGCTAATAAAAGTAATTACCTTCAAACCAATTTTGCTGATGCCAATCACATTAATGATTATTTTTGCAGCGTCTTCAACAAAACTGATAAATGCAATGATAAAATATCTTATTATAACAGCAATAAGTGCAAGGAAAATGTTAGATTTACATTTACTCTGGTGAGTCCAAGTGTTGTATATAAAAGCTTTGCCAGTATTAAGTCTAATGCAGCAGGAAGTGATGACTTAACACTCTTCATGCTCAAGTTGTGCCTCCCCATAATTGTAAATCATGTTACCCACATATTAAATTGCTGTCTAGAAATGGGATATTTTCCACAATGTTGGAAAAAATCAGTGGTTACTCCAGTCCCCAAAGTGAAAAACCCTGTTGGTGTCACTGACTTGCGCCCAATTAGTTTGCTACCAGTTTTGTCTAAGGTTTTAGAAAGGGTTGTTCAACTGCAAGCTTCAAATTTTTTGAAGAATAACAGTTTGGTTCCAATCCATCAGTCTGGTTTCATAGAAGGCCGTAGCACAACATCGGCTTTATTCAATATCACCGACAACATTGTTCGAGCTCTAGATGAAAAACAGGCATCCATACTGGTGCTTCTGGACTATTCAAAGGCCTTTGACCTGATCGACCATGACCTATTGTGTGCCAAACTGTCTTTTTATGGGTTCGATGAGATTTCTACTTCATTCTTTAGGTCCTATTTATACAATAGATCCCAAGTTGTACGAAATAAAGATAATCTCTCACAACCTCGAACTGTGATTTCTGGAGTACCCCAAGGGTCCATTCTTGGTCCCCTGCTTTTTGTTATCTATACATCTGATATCTTCTCGGTGGTCTCAAACTCTCATTTGCAAGCATATGCCGACGACACCCAGCTTCTATTAAATTTCGATCCCTTATACCCTGAAAATGCTGCAATGGAGTTAAACCAGGACTTGGAGAGAGTTGTAAAGTTTTCCACAGAACATAATCTTAATATTAACCCTAAAAAGACAGAAGTTCTCCTTTTCTGTTCCGAAAGACTACGAGACTTTCTGACTGATCGTTTGAAAATACAGATTGGCACTGATGTACTTGGTTTTTCCAACTGTGCCAAAAATCTGGGATTACACCTGGATGTCAGTGGCGGCTCGTATATTAAAAATGTGGGGGTTGCAATTTCAATTGTACAATCATGCATGTTTTTCGTGAAGGTCCAGAATAAATGTCCTGGTGAACGTCCTTTTTTTGCTAGTTACAGTTTGTTCAATTTTTAAATTTGGAGTAGGCCTTCCAAGTCTTTTTATTTCAGCCTTATCGGTTGATGAACGCCCACAGAATGGCTCGGCAATTAAATTTTGAACAGAATTCTTTTTTTTTTTTCACCCCCCACACGACAAAACTTCACAAAACAAACCTAATCTGCGCTGCGAGCAAAAAAAATAAACAAAGTTTGCACTTAGCTTGCAACCTGCTGGAGCTTATGGAGCGGATTTCGAATCCACGCAAAGACAGGCAACCAAATGTGCGCCGTCATATAATAGATCGGTTTGCTTTGGAGCTGCAATCCAGCGACTCGACGCCGCTACTCGAAGTCGCCGGCGGCCTGTCAGTTATTGATATTTTGGCGAAGTTGGTCAAATTATTTTATTAATTGACTGCGTATTATTTAGGTCCCAAATTTTGGTATAATTTATTTTTAAATATAATTAGGTACTAAAATTTAGTTCTACTATTTTTGTTTTATATTTTTTAAGTTTTGTTTTGGGGGTTGCGCAAACCTGCAAACCTAAAGAAGAGCCGCCACTGCTGGATGTTCATCTAAGGTTTCATAAACATGTACAAAGTTTGCTGCAAAATAGTTATATTAAGATGAAGCTCCTATATACAAGCAGGTACATACTTAATTTTAAAATGAAAAAAAAATTGTGTGAAGCACTTGTATTATCAATTTTTAACTATTGTTTTATAGTCTACTATCCATTTCTAGATTTAGTCACTAAAAAAAGAATCCAATATGTACAGAATACATGTTGTAGGTTTGTTTTTAGTTTGAGGAAATATGATTCTGTGTCAGTTAATATTAAACGGATTGGTTGGCTGAAATGTGATAATATGTATAAATTATATTCATTGATTTTCTTTAAAAAATTATTAGATTGTAAGGAGCCTGTATATTTGTATAAAAAAATAAAGTGTAGAGCTGATGCACATAATGTTCATAGTTTAAACTTAAGAAATGGTACAACTTTCGCAGTGCCTAAACACAGAACTTCACTATTTCAGAGAAGTTTCTCTTATTGTATGGTAAAACTGTTGAACTCAGTTAATTTGCCGTTCAGAGAATACAGTGTATATAAACTGAGACTAGAATATAAGAAGCGATTGTTACAAAATAGCTAATGTTACCTATATAGATGATAGATGCTACAATACCTGTTATTTTTGTTTTACCTTTAAAATGTTGGCCCAATGTGGGGCACAGATGGTTGAGTGGAAGAATGGCCATTGGCTAAACTTCGCCACCTGTGTTCTGTATGCGTGAATCATATATTATATTATATTATATATTATGAATGTATGAATATGCAAATAAAGACGTTTATTATTATTATTATTATTATTATTATTATATTGTAATCGTATATAAAAGTCTTTATTTCCGCCTAATATCACCCGCAGGGAATAATGACGAGTAGCGGGATTAATGGTCATTATTCCTCAAAAGTGTCAGTCTCAAACGTGTAGTGCTTGTGGATTTGTATTGAGATGGATGAAATTTGTTATTAAAAATCTCAAATAAATTAATATGTCGTAAATAAAGTAGAGTATACTTTTCGCAATAATGGCTATTATTGCCTCGGAATGTAACTCCCTCGCCGCTAATGCGGCTCAGTTCGTAAATAATCCTCAAGAATAATAGCTATCATTATTGACTCGTGGTATAATCTACTATAATTGTATACCATAGAATATAGATTTACATAATAATTGGCACAACAACTATATAGTCTCTGAAGTGACTTATCCCGCCGTTGCTATATTAAAGAAAATCAATCACTTCAATAAAATAATATAAATAAGTAGTACCTATTGGAAGTGATTCTCCCTTGTCTATTGACTCTGATTCTTATCAAGGCAAGCGAGCAAAAAAACGAAATTTTTGATTTTTTTCCTGAATATCAACCTTTTTTCTATATAACTAAAAAATTTCAATCCAATCCCTCAAACATTTTTCTCAGAAAAAAATAAAACGTACCTGAATGTCGTTTTTTGAAAATTTAATTTTTCTCAAAATGACATCAATGCACATTTTGCTTTACAATTTTGTTAATTTCAATCCGATCTCAACGTAATTAGGCTTCAACTAAAGCTAATCAAATTCTCTACAAATCTCTATTTGGTGGTTTCGATGCAGCTTCAACATTTCCGCAGCTGCAAAGATTCAAAAGCTTTGATACTTATCAAGGTGAGCGTACAGAAGGAAATTTGCAATATTTTTCTCAAACATCACTCCTTCCTCTATAAATTTGCAAAATTATAGTTCAATCACTTAAAACATTTTTCCAAAAAAACAAATTAAACATTCCTCAATGTCGTTTTTCAAAAATTTGATTTTCTCAAAATGACATTAACACACATTTTGCCTTATAACTTTGTTAATTTTAATCTGATCTTAAAGTAAATAGGCAAAAATTCTGAGGAGTTTTGACTAGGAAAAAAAAAACAAATTCAATAATTAAATTTCCTATATTAAATTTTTTTAAATTTAAAATAAGCCTGGATTGCACCACCACCTAGCCTACGAAAAAGTTAGGAATCAACAAAATTTAAATATTTTACAACAAAAAACAGTACAAAAACGTAAATAATTATAATATTTATAAAAGAAAAGTGCACCTCGACACTTTCACTTACTGATATGTCAGTTTATATTTTACATAACATAAAACTTTTACTGAGGGAATTTTACATAGTGATTACCCTCTTCTAAAAAAAGAAAACTGATATGAAAGACTTAACTTAAGAAGCCCACACTGAGAACAATTTTTCTCATGAATGCTATTTAACAAAATAAAAAAGTCAAATATTTAACCCTGTACAAAATACAACAAGATGGCGATTATTTGCCAAAATGCGTAATATAGTTGCCGAAAACACCTTCTACAATATCACTCTTATTGCTGAATCAAAATTTCTGATATGCACGTATTTTTTGCCAAATCAGATCTTCAAAATTTTGGCAATGTTTTCTCTGTCTATTGTCTATTGCTGCCAGATTGTCAATATACGTATTTAAAATTGTCCAGATTATTTACAAATGGCAGTCAAGATACATTACTATACAATATTAATGGAAGATAACAGCTGGAATGTTACAATTAAATAAGTTACAATACACACAAAAAAAACAAAATGCAGGATATGTTGTAGAAAAATAAATACTAATTGGAGAGAATATTACTGGCACTTCTCAACCAATAATTCAATTAATTCAAGGAACTCTAGTTCTTTTTTTTTTTTTTGGCAATTCTTGCCAAACATTTCACTCACTCACGCACACTCATCTTTCTTCCTCGTGCTGGTTTTTCGCTTGCCACTTGAAATCGCTCTCCATTATCCATTGCTGGCCCTCTCCGTAGTTGCAGGGCCTTAGTAAAGGCAAATTAACATCGCTTGAGTCAGGTTTTTGCAGGCAACTGCCCGTATTCACGTGCTTAATTGTTTTGTCCTTGAAATTCCAATTAGTAGATGGTGAGATTTATTTTATTGAATTCTTACCACTTCGTCGTAAACCCAAGCTTGATTACCGCCCATGCCGTGACATCTTACCAACTTGACAGGGCCATTTTTGCTGTTGGCATCCAAACAATTATCGTCGTTCATTATTTGTTGCCTTTTCGTGTAGGCGAATACTTGATTACCGCCCATATTATGACAATAAGTCATGCCTAGATTTTCTCCAGATTTTCTACCCATAGTATCCAAACAGTTTCTGCTTTCCAAATTACGAATCTGGAATATTAATGGTTTAAATGCATTGGACAAGATTTGTTTTTACACTTACATCACCCAAATAATAATAGTCCAAAGGCATTTGGGATTCCGGATAGATGTTTTCCAAGTACCAGCGAAAGCTTTTGCAGTGCAACTTCGCTCTGAGCTCTCTGCGTTTTGAAACGTCGCCTACGGCTACGTTTCTGGCACCTGTTTTGAAGAAAAATGTCACTTTTGATGTCCGGATGATATTTTTTCCGTGCAAACCAAGCCCCAACGAAAGCGAAAAGCATGCATTATAAACAATTTGTGTAATTAATAGGAAAATAAAATAAAAAAACTACATTGTGCCAAACTTTGTATAATGGTGTCTAATAAAGAAATCTGAGGTTTATAAAAAAAAAAAAATGTGTTGCCAAACAGTTTCTACACTAAGTGCTAATCAGTCTTATGCAATAAGGACATTATTATGTTTTGTCCTTAGAGCATAGGTCCAAAAACGAAAAAATATGTTTTTCAAACAACAAAGACCTGGATTAATGTTGTAGTAAAAATCCTTCCACTGGTCGAGCCAGACTTCGGCCAGACGAGCGTTGTTATGGTTGACAATGCGCGACGTGCCCCCCGGAAAAGAGTAGGGCGTCGATTTTCGGAAAACGTGGCCGACATGAGAGCACGTGGCAATTTCCAGCGTGCCGCCGCACATCCAGACCTGACAACACACACACACCCTATTCATTTATTAATTACACATAATTGTTTATGATGATTTTTAATTGCAATTGAAACAATTATTTATTAGGTCAGGTTAGTCAATATTATCAAAAATACAAAGCACCCCCCATCAGAGTTGAAGTTGATGATGTTCCAAACCTGGACTCATGACATAATAGAAATCTTTCCACTTGTCCATCCAAACTTCGGCCACTCTGGCGGAATTGTGCAGCAATATTTTCGACACTCCTCCTGGAAAAGTGTACGGGGATTTGTCCCTAAACACGTGCCCGACGTGCGAGCACGGGACTATTTCTAACGTACCTCCGCACTGCCACACCTAAGCCCCAATGACTAAATTTATATTAATAATAATAATTAGTTGGGTTAGTGTTAACAACAAAATAAAAAGCCTCCAAAAAAAAAACATAAAAATAACGCAAGCCATCTTATTTTTTTATTATTTATTAGAGGGCCCTCTAACCTGGCACCATCATATAGTAAAAGTCTTTCCAGTGATCCATCCAGACTTCGGCGACCCTGGCGGCGTTGTGCAGCACTATTTTCGACACGCCTCCCGGGAATGTGTAGGGTGATTTGTCTCTGAAGACGTGACCCACGTGAGAGCAAGGGATTATTTCGAGGATGCCTCCGCACTGCCAGGCCTAAATCCAATTTATTTTTCGACTCAACTTTTGAAATTTTGGTTATTTTGTTTGACGGCTAAAACTATTGATTGGTGGATTGATGGCGCCACTGTTTTACATTCAATTAGCTTATAATATAGTTTGAAAATGGTCTATATTTGATATGAACCAAAACCTGGTTCAAATATGTACAGGGTGTCAATTTGAAAACTTCCCAGCCCTATTATTTCGGAGTAGAAAAATTTTCGGGAATTATTCCACTCATGTGTTAGAAATCCTATAAGACAAGTGACGATTTTCAGAATTACAGCGAAAATTCTCTTTTCCATTTGTTTAACTAGAGAGGATTACAGCGATAATTCTCCCATGTTATTTTATACATGGTTGTCATGCTAATTTTTGATACAAACAAACGGTTCCTGATAGCAACCATTTATTTGTATTGATTGTTTATATGTTCAAATCATTTAATACATATTTTTTTCCATATTTTTTGCATTCTCATACGTGAAATAATCCTCTAAATACCACTTGAGCTTTAAAATGAACCAGATAATTTTTCACTCATGCGTGTTTTCTCTGCAAATTTCACTCGTCCTACGGACTCGTGAAATTATAGAAAACACGCAATCGTGAAAAATTATCGGTAATTTTGAAGCTCTCGTGGTATTATCGGAGATAATACCAAATTTGCAGAGAAAACACGCATGAGTGAAAAATTATCTGGTTCATTTTAAAGCTCAAGTGGTATTTACAGGATTATTTCACGTATGAGAATGCAAAAAATATGGAAATAAATATGTATTAAACGATTTGAACATCTTAACAATCAATACAAATAAATGGTTGCTATCAGGAACCGTTTGTTTGTATCAAAAATTAGCATGACATCCATGTATAGAATAATATGGGAGAATTATCGCTGTAATTCTCTCTAGTTAAACAAATGGAAAAGAGAATTTTCGCTGTAATTCTGAAAATCGTCACTTGTCTTATGGGATTTCTAACACATGAGTGGAATAATCGGAAAAATCCCTGAAACACGTTAACTATAATTTAAAGGGGGATGAGTTTTTATGTAAAATTCACCTTCCCTCTTTCAACCCCCCAGCCCCCATAGCCACCCCCTAGAAAATTTTAAATGGGAAGGGGGGTCAAGTGAAACATCATTTTGAAGGGTTTTTATTTCCATACATTTTGGTACAAAATTTTAATCCATAAGTTCAACTGTTTTGGAAATATTGACAATTGAAAATTGACTTTTTTGCAACTTTGACAGTCTGTAAAACCTAAACGGTTAATGTTAGAGGAAAACCGATCTTACATTCTTGTCTTAGATTTTTATAAACTATCATTTGACAGCAACTTTTAATTTAATCCATGATCAAAAATGGTGTCAAATGATAGTTTATGAAAATCTAAGATAAGAATGTAAGATCAGTTTTCCTCTAAAATTAACCGTTTAGGTTTTACAGACTGTCAAAGTAGCAAAAAAGTCAATTTTCAACTGTCAATATTTCCAAAACAGTTGAACTTAGGGACTAAAATTTAGTACCAAAATATATGGAATTAAAAACCCTGCAAAATGATGTATCACTTGACCCCCCTTCCTATTTAAAATTTTCTAGGGGGTGGCTCTGGGGGCTGGGGAGTTGAAAGAGGGAAGGTGAATTTTGCATAAAAACTCATCCCCTTTTAAATTATATTTATTTATTTATTTATTTATTTTATTTATTTCACATTACATTATATATAAAAAAATATACAAAATATAAAGTGAAATATCGTCATTAATTATTTATTTACCACTTACTACTACTAAAGTACCAAGTGATAACTTCTTAACATAAGATTACTAAATTATCTGAAACCAATGTCCTATCAACAACTAGACATCTTTAACCTATTCACTACTTAATACTATCTACGTAAGTAGTCATCCATACTACATGGTTCCAAGTTGATTAAGAGGGCTTTTAGTTTTCTTTTAAAGATCCTTTCTGTAGTTATACTTTTTGTACTTTCATCTAACTTGTTGAAAAGTCTTATTCCCATATAGTATGGATGCTTCTCTGACAATGTCAGCCTATGCACAGGGAAATTGATATTGTTAGTGCGTGTATTATGACCTAGAGCATTGAAGATATCTTTATTTTTAAATGCAAACAAAATAGTTTCAAATATATACAAGGCGAAAATAGTTAACAAATTTTTAGATCTGAAAACACCTCGACAGGATTGTAGAGGAGGCATTTTGTAGATAGTTCGAATCACCCTTATTTGAACAGTAAAAATGTCCTGCACCCCGGAGTTTGCTGCCCAGTAGATTATGCCGTACCTAGCTGTACCCTCATAGTTTGCAAAATACAGAGTTCTTTTTGCAGGTTCATCCAAATACCTTGCCACAATACGAATACAGTAACAAACTTTGTTCAGTTTACCTTTCAAATATTCGACATGGCTAGACCAGTCTAAAAATTCATCTACATAAATACCTAGAAATTTAGTGCTATTTTTAATTTCAAGATCAATTTCACCCATCGTAATTGATTCGGGTTTTTTAGTTTTATTTAATTTTGTTCTGAATAGTATAGTATTAGTTTTATCTTTATTTAGTAATAATTTATTTTTTTCAAACCAATCATTTACTAAAACAAAAAAGTGATTTGCATTTTGACGGATCTCTGGAATAGATGGTGCTCCAACTAGTAAATTTGTGTCATCAGCATATTGGGTCAAATTAAAATAATTTCTATTCATTTCATAAGAGTTTATGTCATTCAAATAAATAATAAACAGATATGGTGCAAGTATACTTCCCTGAGGGACACCCACTGTATTCTGTGCGATTTCCGACTTGTATATGTTCCCATTTCTGCATATCGTGACTCTCTGAGTTCTCTTGTTCAGATAAGATTCAATCCACTTAAAAGCACGTCCCCTTATCCCATATAGATTTAATTTCTGGAGAAGTAAGTTTCTGTCCAAGCAGTCGAACGCTTTTGACAAATCTAGGAATATTCCAAGGGCCATGTCCCCATCTTCAAGGTGCTTTAGAATTGCGTGGGTAAATTGAAAAATGGCAGTTTGTGTGGATTTTTTCGTCAAGTAGCCATGTTGATTATCAGAAAATACATTACAGTCATTCATAAAATCCATTATTCTTGTGCACACGACAATTTCAAACAGCTTGGAGAATCCAGAAAGCAGACTTATAGGTCTATAGTTGTCAAACGAGTTTTTATCTCCCTTTTGCTTATACAGAGGCCTGATTGCTGCTAGTTTTAGACTCTCAGGAAAGATGCCCTCTCTAAGTGAATTATTTACTATGTAACACAAGACGTCAATGATCGCTGGAATAATCCGACGGATGAGACTTGTAGGTACTTCATCGTCGCCAGAGCTATGTTTGTTTTTTATTCTTTTTGTTAGTTCTAAAATTTCTTTGGGATTAACAGGTTTTAAAAATAGAGATCTATAATTTTCTTGAATATTGATTTTGTAATTTACATGCTGAATTTTCTTCTGTAACTCTGGAATTGCATTGAGTAAAAAAGTATTGTAATTGTTTGCAATTTCTGTAGGATTTCCAGCGATCATTGTGTCATTCAGCTGTGAGTTGTTTCCAGTTACTTCTTTAAAGATGGACCACATACATTTATTTTTGTTCTCCGAATTATTTATTCTTTTTTTATAACTATCAGATCTAGCTTTTATTAGTAATTGATCATATTCCTTTTTTACAATGGAGTAAGATTCATTAAAGTTGTTATTTTTGCGTTTTAGCATTAAAAGAATATCTAATCTATTTTTAACGTTTTGTATTTGTTCGTTTTTATGATACAATGG